TGATGGCGAGCTGTGCCCCCTCGCCGGGGTGGTTGGGGCCGGGGGCTCCCCTCAGGCGGAGATGGAAGCGAAATGGCGTCGGCACCCTACCTGCCTCCCATGCCTCCGAGCCGGCCCCGCCGCAAGGCCCTCGGGGGGTGACTTGAGGGTGCTCTGGGCAGCCGGGGGGAAGCGGGCCCGGCGGCGGCCCAGGGTTCGCCTCAGCTCTCATGGAGGCCTGGCCGGGGTGACCCTTTTCAAGCCCGGGGACTCGGGGGTTGGTATCGGCCCCTGCAGTGCCGGCCTAGCATCGGCTCTGCCTCCTCTTCCCTGGTGTGAAGGGGATGTCGGCTTGTGATCCCGCTGGGGTCACCCTGGGAGAGCAGAGCGAACCTCCCCGGCCTGGTGCTGGCCCTTCAGCGGTTTAATCACGCCTTTTCTGAAAGCCGTCGCCTTGCTGAGCCCCGTGGTTGGCGATATTGCCTTCGGGAAGATAGGGATGCTCGCTCCTTCCATTTCATGAGGCATTAACAGTTCTGGGTGCAGTTCTGTGTTAGCTCAAGGGGAAGTTTTGTTGTTTCATCCCTGCTTGCTGTCAGAAACCCAGATATTTGTGTAGGTTCTCCAAATTGTCAAGGAGTTCTAGTTCTGCTCTGATGTTGTTTGAACTGGAGTGCTTTGCTTTTCTGTGGCACATATATGTACAAACTTGCACAGAGACCTTGCTTTCCTTTGTAATCACGAAAAATCTCAGTGTTTTTCTATACTTTGTATGCTGTTACTCAAACCTTTTGGTACTTTTCTATAGCAAAGATGCTTGTGTGCTCTGAAATGTGGTTTGTTATTTCAGCTATACACTAAAAAACCACTGAAATCTGCAAACCGTATCTATCCTACTTACCCATTCTTACTTCTATTCAAATTAGAGATTCTCAGGAGTGATCACAAGGCAGCAAGTTTTAGTTTGTACTTAAACTTTCAAAACGTTAGCTGCCGTGAATTTGCTGGTCTCCAAGTGAACTGCTATTTGAAACTTACTTTGATGCCCAGACTTTTTAGAATGTCCCTGGTTTTTATCTTGCTTTCACTATTCTAATTAAGCCTTTGGCATTGGGCAAAGATTTTAAACTTAAGATACAAAATCGTGTGTTTATTGATACAGCTGTTATTAGTTAAATGAAATAGAAAAAGTTTTTAAGGGCACCTGTCTCAAGGTCATTTCTTAAGGAAAGTCGTCCTTTGGAATTCGGTCTATGAATCAGCGCTGCTGGGGTTACTAAAGAGCACAACTGTCTTTCTATCACTTTTCCAAATACATTTATTGTCACTCCAACCCTGCTTTAAAGAGGGAAAGCAAATGGAAAGTTTGTTAGGTGGACTCTAGACTTGTGAGGAGATACTGTTTAATTTAATGCTTAAAGCATTCTCGTCAAGCAAGGTAGGGTCACTTAGTTGGCTTTAATATTCAGGAATAATGTTAGGTTGATGATATTTTACAAACAGTTGTCAGCAATAATCTTTATTGAGGTCTTTTATAACTAATTAGTAAGGCAAAGTCCATCCTGTGTAGAAAGGACATTGTTTTTTCGTCTTGCCACGTTTCATAGATTGCAAGTTACTTAATATTACTCTTTTACTTACCTTTGCGATCTCCTGAGTCAGTTTTGCAGTGTAGTACTATTTTCATGTAAGGCACTAATATTTTAGATCTGGTAATACGAGTGGTAATCACAGAGATAATTTAGGCACCGAGTTCTTAAACCAAAGTGTGTGTATGGGGAAGGCATTAAATCCTCACATTCCTCATTTGATATTGGAAGCTTTACTTTTGTCTGTGATAATTTAGGGGTGGAGGGGGTGAAATCCTGCACATTTGCTGAATTAGAGGGAGAAGGGTATCTGAGGGTGCAATGTTCACTTTTTTGATTTGCTTTGGGCTTCATTATCTTTACTGCTGTTTCCGTTTCTTAAAACTTTTTAATTATACGTGAAGTGGGAAAGGCTTTGAAGCTGTTTAGTTCAGTTAGATTTGGTTTAGTTGATCTTCTAGTTCTTGTATACCTGAGAGGGAGTAAAGGTCACCTCTATAGTTACCGCAGTGTGAAAGTATTCCTATCAAAGCCCAGTGCAAGAGCCAAGTCACGGATTAAAGTGCCTGAACAGGAATGTGTGGAGCCTACAACTCCCATTAGGGATCTATGCACTTCTCTAAACTCCCTACCTCCAACAGTAGCCTCAGATGCTGAGTGATACCAATTCTTATGTGTGATGTGACCTAAGTTTTCCATGGAGAGTTAACTATATTTTTTTAAGAAGCACGTTCCTGTCTTATTAATACAGCTTCTGGAATTAAGAGAAAGCATGAAAATTTCTTTGTTACTAATTGCTCACAATTAGTGCAGGGGTAGGGTGGATTGGGGAGAGCTTGTATGTGAATTCAATGTACTGAAACTTTGGAGAGAACAAACAAGTAGGCAGTACCTTATTTTAGCTTATGTTTCTTCCTCCCTCCTCCAGTCCTAAATGGGGGGAGAACAGGAAGGATGATAGTAAGCAAACATAATATTTTTGAGAGGGTGGAGCTGAGTCAGGACTGAAGTTGGTTTTTTTTTTTCTAAACAAGGCTAAATGTTAAGTCTGTCTCAGTTAAAAAGGCAAGAGATAGGCTTTTTTTTTTATCTTCTACTCCTTCTCACTCCTGTTGTTATGCTAAATACTATATTGATGTTTTTAATGTTTAAATCGGATTAGTATGTAAAGTGCATACAGTGGAAAACTTCTCATTGACTTTCCCCTTTTTGTGACACCACTTTAGATTGGCTTACAGGTTGCAAAGGAGAAAGAGCATAACTTCTTTGTTCCATTCACTGGAAATTCAGAAATAAATTCACAATTGATTTCAGATACTATGTAATTCAAAGAAGATGTGTTCTACTGTTATCTGCGTGTGTTCTGGAGTAGATGCTTAGCACAGGATCACTTTTTATATGCTGCAGATATGGGATTTTGCCAGGCCAACGTTTTGCTGCACAGTAATTTTCCAGTACTTACTTTCCACACTGGTATTAGCTGCCTTAAATAATGTTCATTGATCCATTTACTTAAATAAAATCTAGATTCTCCTTAAAAACATGCCGAAAAGTTGACTTTAACGTCATAATCTGTGCTGCCCACCATCTTTCAGATACTGTGGTACATTTGGAGGGTATAACTTCTCTACTCAAGAATTAGTGTATCCAAACTAGTTTTGAAATGTAAAACAGCGAGAATCGATTGTCTGCTTTCCTTCCCCCTCCTTACTGAGTTCTGACAAGGTGTGAAGGATGACACTTATAGGACTGGTTCAAAAGAAAATAATGTGGTTCAACACCATAACCAGTAGTCATTTAATCAAATATTCAAAGAATCATTCCCATAATGAAGGCAAAGTGATGCTGATGTCTAAATCTTCAAGTTGAGTAGTTTAACTTCATCGCTTATGCTCTCATTTTATCTAGTACATGGTAAAATGGGGTAGGTGGCCTCATTTTTCTAGTTATCTAATGCTGTCTTGATGCAGCTGTGCTTCACTGGTCACTTCTGCAGAGAGAATACACTCAAATCCCAAAATGGTTTTCCTATAAATATCGATGACAGGAATGTTGGTTGGAAAGATTCTCTAGAGGTCATCCAGTTTGACCTCTTTTTATTGCTCTGAGTCTGGAGGTTGTCTGGTCCAGCCTGTTTTGCCACTGCTAAATCAGGTCATACATGTTTTTTCATCTCAGTCTTGAAAACTGGCAAGGACAAAGGTTGCACAGACTGTCTGGATACCCTGTTCCAGTGCAGCAGTACAACCCTAATCAAGAATTTTTCTCTTAATTAGTAGCCGTTGCCCTGTGCTCTGCCATCTACCACTACTGAGAGGTGTTTGCCCGTGTTATTTTTGTAATCCTCCTTTAAGTAGTAGTAGGCCCCTTGTCCTCTACCTTTCCAGACTATGGTCAGCTCCCTCAGCCTAATTTTACAGGACATAAACTCTG